TGGGAACCCTCAGGAGATGACTGCATCTCAGAGGCGTCTTCAGGTGTTGCTGGCTCTGGGTTTTCAGTCTGCTGCGAGGTCCTGCCTCTTCAGTTTACTGGGGATGAGAAGTTGCTGCCTGCTTGGTCCGGCCCTGGCTCTTTGGCACTGGCCTATAGTACTGTTGTAACCCTCAGGCAATCTCACTCTTGGTATATAAGGAAGAACAACTGATTAGAACAATTATGTCTATTATGTCAATTATGTCCTGGGTAAAGTAGTACAATCCGCAATAACAAGAGCATCAAACACAGCCTAGAAAATGACAACCTGTGGTAACTATTAATTTGCCACCTTAAACTTTATGATCTAGATTTGTGATTGCATAACAAAATGTAAAACAAACCAGAAAATTGTATGCAGTAAATAAGCCTTCAGTGTGGTGATTTTACATTCGACAGAGAAAATTTAAAAGGGGTAAGAAGGGGAAATAGAGAAATAGAAGAAGAGGAAGAGATTAAAAGCAAGGTTGGAAAACAAAGGAAGATTACACAAACTTTCAGAAACTGATGAAGAAGACAGTAGGGAAAGAGAAAAATAAGAAATAAAAACAAGAACAGAGCAACAGCAAAACTAGAAACAATGGTCACACTCATACAAAAGCAAGAACCAGCAATAGAGAAAAAAAGAAAATGAAACAGAAAGAAGAGAAATGGCCCACTTCAAGGCATGTCTCTGCCGTTACTTATAGGCAAAGTGGGCAGACAGAGCCCAGATCAGTGATGAAGCCCAGCAAAGCAGCTGTGGATCTGTGCTGGGGGTGTGGATGATCCCGCCGAGCCTGCGCCTTCAGTTCCGCTGTGAGGCTGGAACCTGATTTGTTCGGCCTGCAATGCTCCACGTCCCTCCCGCCAGCTTCAGCTCGGCTCCTTTCCACCTGAAGCTGGGAGCCACTAGTTGGAGCCTGTAGCGGCTCTCTGTTCCGAGCTCAGCTGGCCCCTGTCCGAGGCGGCTCCTGGCCAATCCCCCTCTCCTGAGGGACGTCTGAACCTGAACGGCTCACCAGCCACTGCAGGCTGCTGTGTCCACTGCCCTGTTCCGCTGGCGCACTTCTCTGCGGAGGCGTCTGCGGTCACCAGTGGCCCCCGCGAGTCTGCAGGTTTGGCCTCCCCTTCCGGCACAGGGAGTCAGGCCTTGCCGGCACTGCTGACGCCTCTGTCTTCCTCTCTCTGCTGCCCCCTGGGGGCTTCAGTTCTCACTGCAGTCCTTGCGGGGTCCCGGCGACCCACTCCCCTCCCCCTCCTCTTCCTCACATTGCTGCATCCCCTTCCAGACACCACATCTCGTGGAGGCTGCTTCCCTGCTGTTCACCATGCCACCATCTTCCCAGAAGTCCTCCCCCACTTCCTCTCGCATTCCAAAATTCAAGTATTTTTAAAGGGTAGGAATGTAGCTCTGTGTGAAAGGACTAAGTTCAGTCTTCAGTCTTCAGAGTCCAGTCTTCAGCACCTTAAAAAGTTAAAAAGAATTTAAAGGAAGAGAAGAATAACTGAAGAGCAGCAGTTGCTGGCTTCATCTCTTTCCCCTATACATTGCTGCCATTTGTAGACCAAATATATCGTGGGTGTGTTAGCCGCTGGGATTGGTATTAAGACCACATTTCTGGAGTTGTGGCCTTTGTAGCCTCTTGGGTCACTGAAGCTGACACTAGTGGTCTCACTTGTACAGACAGAGGAGGGTGTGCTGGCTCCACCAGGCCCCAGGACATGGAAGTGGCCTAAGCATGTGGCATGTGTGTTTATGTGGGGTGGTGCCAGTCTGTGACTGGGATGTGCCTAGCGTGCGTGGCATGTGTGTGAGATCTTGTGCCTCTTAGTTTCATCTGTCCCACAGTAGGACTACCATTGAAAGCCCACATGGCTCGTAATTATGGTGCTCGTTCCCTAATACTAATGTAGATGTGTCAGATGGAACGATAGCATTTGAAATTCTAGGATGCTTAGCTCTTCTCTCAGGGTGGTGATGGTGGAGTATCTGGCATCCCATTTAAAGACTGGCAGTTAGGGTAGAAGTTCAACTTAATTGCCCTGAGATCTGCCCTGAGGATGCGGGGAAACATACTTCTGGGTGTATCTGACCAGGTCTTGCAGGTGTGGCCTTGGGGTCCATGGCTGGTCCCTGGCCTCTTCCTCTCTGACTCTTCCCCTGCTCTGCTTCCGGGCCACACCCTTCTGCCATGATGTTTCTGCCTTGGAGCAGCCAACCATGGACTGAACGCCCTGGAACCGTGAGCTATGTTAACCCTCTCTTCCTCAGAGCTGTGGGTGTTGGGTTTGTGCCCAGCAATGGGTGACCAATACAATGAACTCGATCAGTAGAATTCCTAAAATGACAGCTCTGCTCTAAGTCAGTAATTTGGATCATAAAAAGAACAGAAGGAAAGCCAGGATGCCACCATGTGACAGCCATGCCGGGCTGTTTCCATCAGTAGCCAGGTTTCAGAGTCCAGCGCTGGGCACAAGGAAGGCCAGGCTTTGGCCCATACCTATGTGGTCATCTCAAATCTCTCTGAATCTAAGCTCGCTGCACACCAGTATTTAACTGTCAGTGTGACTCAGCAAACAGAGGAAGAAGGTGGCCTGCCCTGGTATGCTGAGGTCCCTGTCCCTCCCTGCTGTCCCTCCCTGCATTCAGAGCCAAGCAAACTCAACAAGTGGCTCCAGTTGTCCCTTAGGACACAAGGTGCGCACTGCTGGCAAAGGCCGTGGGTGCCACCTCTGTGACAATATTGCCAGGCCAGGCCCACGTCCCCTCACCAACGTAGGGAGAAGGAAAGTGGCCTTGTGTTGAAACACCCTTCCCAGCTCCCCTGCTGGACCGCCTAATCCAAACATATCTCCAGGTCTAGGAGAAGCGACACTGCCCACCCTCCTGTGCGTGGGGAGTGCACACCCTGGGGACCACAGGGCCCGAGGGCCTGGCTGTCACCCCATGTGGGATGTAGGGGCCTTTACAGGGCCAGGCTTTGGTCCTGGCTGGGGTTATTTCACTTTATACGGCCTGAGCAGTGTGGCGTGGGGTCCACATGACAGAGAAAAGTCAGGTTGGCTCTCTCCTCCTTTGTGTCTGCCTTCCAGATTAATCCTTTGAGATTTAAAAAATATTTATGTATTGATTTATTTTTACTGACGATGGAACACAGAGTCTTTGCCCTGAGCTACACCCCCAGCCCTTTTCATTTTTTATTTTGAGATGGGGTCACGCCAAGTCTCTAAGTTGTCCAGGCTGGGCTCAAACTTTTGATCCTCCTGCCTCAGCCTCCCAGGTGTTGGGATTAACTGCATCCGCCCCCACACACCCAGTTTAAAATCCTTCAAGTTTTGAGGTAGGATGTGCATGGTTCCAAAGCTGTCTCTTTTCAATTTTTTATTTTCTCATTTTTCTGGCCTTTTGCAGACAAGCGTAGTTAAGGGTAGACAAGAAACCTGTAATTATTCCGTAGTTGACTGTAGCCTTCGACCCGACAACTTCCCCTTCAAAACACAGCCGCCTCCTGTCCTGGTTTCCCCGCCTCTTTAACTGCTACATGGAGTCCTCGTCTGCCCTCTTGTGGCGCCTCCTGTTATTACACCTGAAACCAGGCTTGTGACGTTGGAAGTACCGTTGTACCTCTTTAGCGTCCTTATTTGAGTGAGAGTACACATCGGTTGGATTTCAAAGATGCCCAAGAGAGGCAAGAAGGCCCACAGAGCCCACTGCGTGTTCCTGGGCAAGGTGGAACCCGGCGTGTAGGCGCAAGGCCAGCTCCCTCCCCTGTGGGCAAGGCCCGGGTCTTACCCCCAAGCACAGCACGATTCAGAATACAGAAAGAGGGGGAAGGCCACTCCCTCCCCTGACAGCAGCCCCTTGAGACAGAGGCTCCAAGGTCCTCAGGACCTGTGTCACCGAGGATAGGCTGGCCTTCCACGCAGACTGCGGTCACACGTGGAATCCTAAGCCTTTCCCTGGGCCCCGAGCCCCAGCCGCTGTGGGAAACCCTCCCTTCTCCGGATTCTCTGGGGAGCCAGGCACACACAGGGCCCTGTTAAGAAGAAGCATTCTTTACAGCGTGGGCAGAGACTCTCCTACACTCATGTCAAGCAAAGAAGAATTCCACAGTTTACTTTCAGAAACTGTTTAGGATTTCACCAAGGCAGAACTGCTAGAGAACATGTGGGAGCCACTCATGAAGAGCAGAACTTCCCACATTTCCCACATTTCACATGTGGGAAATGTTGTCCTTGTCCACACCCTGGGGCCCCTGGGGGCGAGCCAGCAGCAAGAATGACAGGGTAGGGGCCAGGAGCAGTGACACATGCCTGTCATCCCAGCACTGCGGGAGGCTGAGGCAGGCAGGTCGCAAGTTTGAGTCCAGCCTGGGCAACTTAGCAAGATTCTTTCCAGAATAAAAACTATAAAAAGGGCTGGGGATGAGCCTCGGGGAAATGGCCCTGGGCTCAATCTTCAGTAGCACAAAGCGATAAAAATGGGTGGGGCTCTCACTGGGCTCCACGTCACAGTCCCCCTCGGCCGCAGTGCAGTGACCGAAGGGCCCGGTTGGGCAGGCCCAGGCCTGTGCTTGGCAGAGGCTCGTGAATGGGATGCACAGGGCGGGTGTCCGGCCCCGTGAGCCCCAGGGTGGCGCTGGCTTCTGAGTGTCGCCACACATTAACCTGAGGCCCTAGAGCAGCATGCAGGTGGATGGTGACCTGTCCAGGGCCAATCCACCCGGGCTCAGAGCCAGGACTTGCAGCAGAGCTCAAGCCCCACCTGTGCTCCTGCTTGTGGGGTTCTGGCTATGGAGCCAGCGAACCCCTCCAGGCCTTGCCTACTGTCACAGGGCCATGCACACTCAGGACACTTTGGAGACATTTTTGATCCAAGACACAGCAAGAGTTCCCCCAGCAGAACAGACGCTGGGCATCAGATGCTCCATCACGGCTGTAACGCCACCTCTTCTCTGCCTTTCCCTGCACCCCCAGAGCCCCCCATGTGACATCTGTTACGATCGTGACCGTCGGGACCAGTGGGGGCCCCTGCTCCTGTCGCTGGCAGCAGTGCGCGGCTGGAAAAGCAGACAGCGCGTTCTCAGGGACATGCGAGGTTGGTGTCTGCACCCTGCTGCTGGGGAGCATTGGGGTGCCCACCTGGGACCTGGGCAGGGACCCTGACCTCCTCTCGCTAAGTCCCCTGGCATTGCGCAGGCCTTGAAGGCATAACTGAAATGTCTCACTGCAGCCAGGTGACAGAGAGATGGCTGTCTGAGAGAATGCTGTCCCTCAGCCTCGAGGTCAGTCACAGACGATCACAGAAAACAGTGAATTTCTGTTGTGGCAGCTGAGGGGCTGCATGGTCTCTTGATGCCAGCCATCCTGACATTCCCGAGCCACATGCCTGGGGTACCAGCTGGACGCTCTTTCACTTGATAGGATGCTGGAAAAGATACAGGTGTGATGAAAGGTTAAATTAAAAATTGAAAAAACTGATGGTAGTAAACCGTCCATTGCCATTAATCTCCCTCCAAGTCCTCCCCGTCACTTTGAACACACTCACGCCATCACCCCGGCCACTTTCTGCAGCAGCTCTGGAGTCCTCTTTGCTGAGGGTCTTTATGAGGTGATAAAAAATACAGTACGCAGTACTGCTGCTGAGCGCCATCCAACAGGATTGTGAAACATGACGCTGTGTGCTCATCCACCGCTTCACGGGATCCGGCCCTCTGTGGTTTCTGGCTCTTCCCCACAGTCAGAATGACCATAAAAGGTAAATGCTTTGAAATCAATTTAGGACATAGAGGCAGCCGGGACAGCACAACCAAAGACACTCAGGAAGGAGGACTCCAGGGCTGCTGCAGGAAGTGGCCAGGCGGATGGGATGAGGTGCTCGAGGCCAGGGAGCGGTTCTGAGGGGGATTCAGGGCAGTGTCCTTTACTATAGTATGCATCTTTTTAGCTTCAGCGTTCACCGTATTTTCCAGGAGGCCATCTCTGCAGCAGCCCCCTGCACCTGGTGGACAGAGGCTTCCTGCTGTGACGCGAGAGAACTGTGCTCTGCGGAGGACACAGCCAAGGCCCCGCTTCCTGGGACTGCCACCGCAGGGGCCCCCAGCAGCGTGGCCGGATCCCCACGGGCCAGCACCCAGCCAGCTCTGCCTGGGGGGCCGTCTTCCCGTCTCCCCGCTGTTCCCAGGAGGTAGGGGAGGGGTGTGGAGCTGCACGCCTCCTCACCCCAGCTCTGCCCCGTCCGCTGGGACTTCGTGTGTTCCTTGCTCGCCGTCATTAGAGCTGTCGTGCAGGCCAGTGCTTTCTGAGTGACCGCCACCCGGGCGGTGCCATCAGCATCCCCAGTCGCGTGGGTCCCTCTGTTTTCAGACTGGCCAGCACCAGGAAGCCCTGTCTGACTGTGTCTCCACAGGGACGGGCACCACGTATGCACAGGAGGGCCAGGGAGATGAGGCTGGGCCACGAGGGTACTCAGGCTTAGCTGGGCGTGGTGGTGCACACCTGTGATTGCCACCCTTAGGAGGCTCAAGTAAGAGGGTCGCAAGTTCAAGCCCAGCCCAGGCAACTTCATGACTTAGTGAGCACCTGTCTCCAAATAAGAAATAAAGTAGGGCTGGAAGTGTAGCTAAGTGTGAAGGCCCTGGGTTCAACCCCTGGTACTGCAGAAAAGACAAAGCACACAGTGACTTCCTGTGCTTCCCTGAAAGTATTTGCTGTCTGGCCTGCGGGGCCTCACTCGTGCCAGTGTCTTGTGGCTTTCCTCATTGCTGAGACAGAGAACCTGCTGCCCACAGCTTAAAGGAGAGGTTTATTCTGGCTCGCGGTTTCAGCCCATGGTCCACTAGCACCAAAGCAGAAATGGCCTGGCGTAAGGAAGCCGCTCACACCATGGAGGTTGGGAAGCAGAGTGGCAGGAGCTGGGAGGGGGAGGACCCATCCAGGCCCCGCCTCCCCTGCCTAGGCCCCGCCCGGTCCCCGCCTCCTCTGCCTAGGCCCCGCCCAGGCCCCGCCTCCCCTGCCTAGGCCCCGCCCGGTCCCCGCCTCCTCCGCCCAGGCCCCGCCTCCCCTGCCTAGGCCCCGCCCGGTCCCCGCCTCCTCTGCCTAGGCCCCGCCCAGGCCCCGCCTCCCCGCCCAGGCCCCGCCTCCTACCCGCCCCGGCTCCCAGCCGCACGCAGTCTTCTCCCCGAGCCTCTCTGAGCGCAGGCGGCCGTGAGCGCTGCGGGTCAAACCCGGACGGCGGTGCTGCCGCTGCGGACTGGCCGGAAGCCGTGCTTCCCGGCAGCAGCTCTGGACGAGCAGGGCCGAGCGGGAGGCGCAGGCTCCGCGCTGGCCCCGCCGCC